GAACTGCAGTCACCTAGGAATCGGACTGAGTTCTGGTTCTGGTTAAACTGGAGCTCTGTCTGAGAAGATGCTTAAACAGACACCAAAACTGAGGCACTGCTCCTTCACCTAACCCCAAGGCTGGCACCCTTGAGGTGCATGTCCTGCCACACGCAGCGACATCTTGAGCCCAGGAGCCCAGGTGACCATGGAGCATTTTCACATCTGTATCAAGACAAAGGCCCCTTCCCACAAGCTGACCTTAGACAGTCCTCCAGGCCTCTGTGACTTCCAGCTAGGACAATATTCTCTGATCACAACTAAAGCCACTTCTGAGGACCACCAGGAGACCTCTGCGAAGACAGAATGTAAAATCCACCTTCTTCTGAGGAAGAGAGTCAGTCAGAACAAGGACTTAACACCTGCTTCACAAGTGACACTTGTTACCTGCCTGTCCAAAAGTCATAAAATGCCACACTGCTCTCTTCAGACATCCTGGCCACATATAAAGAGCAAAGACAGGAATGTCATTGCACTTGGGCAACCAGAGTGATCAGAGAACATATACACGTTTAGATTTTAGATCCGCTAACACATTGGAGAGAATCAGAACCTACGGCCTTCTTTTTTACAATTTTTAACAATCCTCCTTTCGGCAGGATCAACAGTGTTTCAAGTTAACATCATAAGTGCCATAATCTTGAAGCAAAACACAAAACTGGCATACAAGACTTATAAAAAGTTCCATTATCAGTTGGTAGTTGCCACACCATGGTATGGTCTGGCCCAGGATTCTGTCCCTGCCAGAAACCTTAAGATGTTTCCAGGACAGGCTAATATCATCAACCTGTTAGATCTATCACAGGTAAATCTAAACCAATTTGTAATCTCATATAAACTTATGTGGGACAGAAAAGGCTCCCCGCATCTTTTCTTATGAGCTCAAGAACTGCCTCTCGGGCCTCTTCTGAAGCCATCTCTCCACCTTTGAGGGCAGTGTAGTGACATTAAGAGTTAGAAACAGTCAGTTAAACTTTGGGTAAGTCCCTAACTTTAGGGCAGTCACCTCAAATGAAGTCAGCAAAAACAAAAGCATCTTGTCCTCTCCTGGCCACAGGAGACACCCACTAAACAGCACCGACTGTCATCATGCTGTTGGCTTCTGCACCTTCAGGAAGGGGAGACCGGCTGCTCACTCCACCTCCTTTACAGCGCTGCTGGGGGGAAGCAGGAGACCCTGTTGAAGTGCTGCAAAATCACTTAAAGTATATACCTCTGTGTCGAGTTCCATTAGAATTTTGTTATTTTAAGAAGTTCACGGACTACACCTTGCATTAAAAGAAAAAACTTTTAAAACAATTCATGTTAGAATCTGAACCCTGGATCTGGAAGGAGCTTTATGGGTGCACACACCAGTTCCCAGTCCCACTTTGCAGACACGGACCCTGCAGCCCAGAGAAGCTAGGCAACATCTTAATCTTCAAATTCCCAGGTGGGAATTTGACACATTCCTTGTGTGTCTCTCTGTAGAGGCCCCTTGGCCTCTGACCACCTCCCATTTGTGCCTGATGTCTGCATAACTGTGAGAAACAAAGCAGTTTCTGAAGTTTCCTGCTGGAGAGCCTGACCACTGGGAGGCCTTTACACAGACATCTTTGGCAAGTTCAAGTCCCTTTTTCCCCTCAGTGCCTTCTCTGGCCTCTGGTCTGATTACAGAGATGCTCACTTGCTTTGAGCAAGGCCTGCCTTGTGCCATTATTCAACTTGTTATGGGGATGCAGTACCCACTCCACCGTCTGTCAGACCTATCCTGGGATGCCAGACTAACATCCGTGTCCTTCACGGTTCTAGAGAGTTCTGAATTAGAATACTCCAAGACTGAACTTCAGCGTATATAAAAGTCACATGGGCTTCATAGGCCCAAGAAGGATTCTAGGGTTCAGTTAGTTTAACCGGCACTTAGCACTCTAAAGCGCCCAATGGTTCTGCTCTAGGGAAAGAAGAAACAGACCATGCTCATGAAGCCCACACTCTGGTCAGGAAAACAAAGCCTGAACTTCCATGAAACGATGAGTGTCCAATATAGACAAGAACCTAATCACCTGCTGAGGAGACTGTGCTTGGGTGGACGGACTCCAATTTCTGGGCAGAAGGAAGACACAGCCCTCAACTCTATCCACCAAAATTAAGCTGGGACAAACGCACACACTGCACTTCAGAGATTTTCAACACCCTGGCTGACATAGCCACAAGGAGGGTAAGGCTTAGATTGTTCTGAAAAAACTGTTAGCTGCTTTTTGAAAAGGAGTGTAGAAGATTTACTTTATTACTGAGTTGGCAGAAATTATTAACTCAGAGGCCTGCTGTTAACAAAAATTCAAATACTCTAGAGGCTCGAATTGAGAACATAGAGACAACTTTCCTCTCAAGAACTCCTTTGTCAAGGAGATGGTCAGTTACTTTGTTAACTTTGCTAACTTCTCAGATTCTTGTGGATATTAGGTCAGCTGCCTGACATTGATTTTTCAAGCAAAAGCTAAGTTTGTTAACCATAATTGCATGCCCATAAAGGTAAGCATTACATGACACAATTCTCTGTCGCTTCTCTCAGAAGAGGTTTAATTTTAGTGTTGGCTCTTCAACACTGTCCCCATTTTTTTTTCCACGAGCATCTTAAATATGTGTCAACTAACTATCCCAAGGTGGAGTTCACAATTGGGCAAGGTAGAGAAAAGCAGCTGCGCGCCAGCAATGCCTTCTTGGAGATACCTGACTCTCGCCTGAGCCCAGGCAATGCCTTCTTGGAGCTACCTCACTCTCGCCTGAGCCCAGATCAATCCAGAGAAACTGCAGAATTCTGGTCGCACCACCTCCGCCAGTAACCTATTCTGCCATGGCTCCATTTCCTATATAGGGTTTGCTCCAAGCACACTCCTGTCAAAAGGTTCTAACAATGCTCACGGATTGTTACTGGTAATGGCGGCATTTAAAGGAGGCACTTTCTTCATAGCTCATATTCAGACACAGCTTCCCAATTCCATCCACCACACTTATATTAGAATTCTATGCACACCCATTAATGATGGAGTCCCCAAAACAAACCATATGAAATGTGAACCCCATGCCATGAAGACAACCATGGGCTTCTATGAATGTAACATATGTGCACATACTAAAATACAAAAACCTGAGATTTGTTTCCTTCTCCCTCTTCTGGCTAACCCCTCTTCCTCCTCTCCTTCCTCTCCCCCTAGGAACCCTTTAGATTACAGCCTTACACAACACTGGAACCCCTAAGGTCACTGCTCCACCTAATCTACAACATCGTGACCGCCTGTCAAAGCGACTCCTGATCCCAAAGCTCTCCTAGGTGGCATTAAGGATCAGTGCTAATATCTCAGCAACCTCTCAGGTTCTCCTGAAGGAAACAAGCATGTGGAATTCAAGAAGTTATACTCTGGACAAAAGATGGAAAAGTCACCAAGGTTACATTTCTCATGTCACTTGTTTTATCCTCTAATATTTCAATCTTGGGAACCGCGGCGGCACCAGTTACTGCAAAAAATTCGGACAGGTTTTATATACCTTGTGTCTACTCCATCCCCAAAGTCAAAACAAAAACGTATACATTTGTTAAAAACAATTACCACTTAGTTAATCTTAATGGGGCCTGAAGACTAGGGATAAGAGGATTACTTGTGATACAAAAATCAGAGTCTTACAAAGACCATAACTCCTCAATTTCTACCAAAATTGTACAAGCCAATGTGAATTACTCCAAAAATACCAAGCTTAAAGCATAATGCTAAAAGTAATTAGTCAAACTCACATAAGGGAAAACAAAAACGCTACAGTGAGAGAAATCTGAGTTACCTGGCCCAAGACAATTTTTTTCTTCGATCCCAGCATATTAAAAAGTGATCTCAATGGCCACTCCCTGGTCTCCCAACAAATGCAGGGGCTCACTTCATACCTGGATGCCACAACATCTTCCTATTGCTCAACCTGCTCCTGCCACAGGGGAAAATGACCCCTACTGCCAACAATCCCTTGGAAAAAATATGAAAACACCATGAGTCTTCCCCTACACACACGAAGGGGGGCAGAGGAGATCCCTCTGCAAACAGCAGCCTCGGTGGAGGGCGATCTGAGAAAGCTACAACCTGGGGTTAACCCTGACCATCTAGGTGACAAACCACCAAGCTGGGACGCTCAGGTAGGGGAAGGGAGAGCCGAAGGAAGGCTCTTGAAGGAACAGGAGACAAAATAATCACCTCTAATTCACACCAAAAAGCGGGGCTCTGGGTTGATCAGAGACGCAATGAGCATTTAGGCCCAGAAAGGTAACAGGAAGCATCCTTCCCTCCCCAAAATCATCTCCCGTCAGCAGCGATCCCAGAAGGGATCTGGCAAAGGCATGTCCACTCCCAGAACCAAGGGGGGACTCTCCAGGCGCCCTGGGCACCCGGCTAAGGGCAAAGTAACCGGCGGGGGGGGGGGGGGGTTCCCTCTGAAGCCAGGAAGGTGCTTCCAGCCGGGAGAAGAGGGAAGGAGGACTTCCCTGATCACCTAGAAGGCCGAGACACAGGCGGCACAGGCTCCCGAGTCATACCCCGGACACCAGTTGCTCCACAGTCTTTCTCCCTCCCCTCCCCCCACGCCGGGAGGACTTCCCGGGGGTCGCGAGTCCACGGGGAAGGGCAAGGCGGGTGAGCTCCGTCAGAAGCAGCAAGGGTCGTAGAGCTGGAGCGAGAAAGAAGGGAAAGCTCTGGCCTCAGCTCCCGTCTGCTCCCTCCGCCCAGGCCGCACGGAAGCCTCGGCCTCACGTACCGAGCGCCGCCAGACTGCCCGACCTGCCCCCGGCTCGGGCCCGTGGGGCGAGAGACCGGGATGGCAGCGGCCCTCGGGGGTCGGTGGGCGTCGGGCGGGTTCCCTGGAGCCCGGCGGGCGAGGGGCATTAGGGAGGGGGAGGGTCCCGGGCCCACGCGGCCTCCGTCCCGGCCCGCGCAGCGGGTACTTACGTTGCTCTGGGGGTCGATGGCCTGCAGCAGCCGGTCCCTGATCTGCTGCGGAGACGCCGGAGCCGCTGTCATTGCCTGGGCGAGGCGGGGGGGAGCGGCCGGGCCAGCGGGCGGGCGGGCTGAGGCGGGGGACGGGGGTCACTCACTCGCCGGCCTCCGGGAGCGGAGCCTCATGTTCCCCGCGGCGCCGGGGAAGGAGGGGGCGCGCGGGGTGGCGGAGAGGGGAGCCGGGGCTCGGGCCCGGGGCGCCACCGCCACCAGAGGAGGAGGAGGAGCCGCCGGAGCCGCCGCCGCTGCTGCCGCCGCCTCGAGAACCAAACTCCAGTGAGCTGCTCCCGCGCGGAGCACTCTGGGTAACCCGCGCCGCACGCAGCGTCGGCGCCACGCTGAGGAGGTTGGGAGATGGGGCGGGCGGAGACGCCGGGCCTGGGCGGGGCCGCGCGGGAGCCCCGCCCCCACACCCCCCACGCATGCGCGCGCATGCGCACTGGTCTACCGCCCCACCCCGCCCACCACCCGGCGGAGGGAGCCGTTGGGAGGCGGTTGGGCGGGGCAACGGCCGCCGCCGGGGGCCCCTCCCCCGGCTGGGCCGTGGGGAACTGAGGTTTCCGACGGAAACGCGCGGTGCGCGCCGAGTCCTTGAACCTGGGCGCTCCAGGCGGCCGCCTCAGGGTGGGGGGGCGGCGGGGTGGCGGAAGGTCTCCTTATTGGGGAGAAAAGCCTTCCCCGTACCGACGGAGGTGATGGGAGTCGCGGACGGGGGAAGCTGCCAAGTTTTCCGAGCCGGGGGTCCTCAGCCCCTTGATTGCCGTTCCTGGGGGCGAGGGAGACAAGTCCATGTTGTGATAATGTGCGCGGAAGGGTCATCTCGGGCGCCGGGGGCCGCTCCACCCTTACAGAGGGAGGGGGTGCAGGGCGGGGGTCTGCAGCGCTTGGCGTGCTGGGATCACGAAAACATGAGACCGCAAAGCGCCTCTCGGGGGAGCCGTCACGCCAGCTTTGGGGAAAGCCCAAAAGCCAGCCCCGTGAGCCCACCGACCCCAGGGTTGCAAACCTGTGTCGACGCCAGGGTTTCTCATCCTGGGCACCAATGACATTTGGGGCTGGATCACTGTTGCAGGGGCTGTCTTGCGCATTTTAGGATATTCAGCATCCTGGGTCTCTACCCACTAAACGCCAGTAGCACTTTCCCCTCCAGTCAGGTCAACCAAAAATGCCCAGTCATTGCCAGATGTCCCCTGTCGGGCAGAACGTCCCCTGTTGAAAACCACTGGTTTAAAAGACCCACCCTGCTTTGCGTGGAGGTGCTGGAAAACTGAAACCCTCATTCTCTGAACAAAACCTTTCACAAAAGGAGGGAATTGAGGCCCAAGGTCACCCAGAGTTCTAGGTCAAACCCATAATTGTTAAATGTCAAGCCTAAGGTGCCTCCTTCCCCACCCCCACCTTACTGCCCTCTTCTACTGCTCTGCTCCCTCTGGAAGCCCTGTTAGGAATACTGTTATGAGAAGGGGTGAGAAGGCAGGCTGAGTGGATTATTAGCTGCAGCCTCCGGAGAAATCTAGGAAGACCTAGATTTAAAACAGGAGGGAGGCAGCTGATGAGAACCACACGCGCGCCTTGGATCTGTGCTACACCTGTTAGTCTTGCATTTGTCATGCTTCTGGGAAGCGTTTTTATTTGCAAAAACGGCTGTTTCTGCACGTGGTTGTGGCTGCTTCCTTCTGGACATGTGAAAAGTTTTACATCACACTTGTAGGAGAAAATAAACATGGGCAAAATACTTTAATTTACTCACTCACTCTCCTAGAATGAGGTGCTTTGTGTACATGGTCCAGGTTGGAAACCAGCCCATTTGGAGATACTCTTTATCTCACTTTAGATAAGCAAAATAAACAAGCTCTCCCCCAAGCATATTCTGGTCCTGCCTTTCTTTTAATTTCTAACTCAGACGTTCAAGATCTTATTTTTTTAATCAAGGATCACATAGAAGTAATTTGTTTTGCATGGGTCAGGTTGTTTAAGAAAGATTTGGAAAGCACTCAACTTACCTGCTCTTTTTAAACTAAGAAGCAACATTAAGATGACTGAGTTCTGCATGGCCAGCTGTATACACATACCCAGACATAGGTATGCAGTTCAGCTCCATAGATGTGGCACAAAGTGGGGCTCCATAAATATTTAACAAATGAGTATTAAATATACTGTATAGACATTAGGATGCACATAGACACAGATGCATATATCCATCTCTCTCTATAGAGAGAGATAGATAAATATATCTAACACTGTGTCTACATGTGTGCCCTGAAAGTGTGGGCACTAGAACGTAGCTTTATTTCACATTTAACATATATATGTAGTGGTAAAAATTAAATCAGATCGGCATTCAGTGGGAGTCTTGAAAACGTTAGCTTCTCTTAGATCCAGGATAAATAACTGCAGTTCACCTGGCAAGACCTTCTGCTTCAAGGAAGAGATACTTGAAATGGCACCTATCAGTTATACAAAGGTGGGGCTCAAGGTAAATCCTCTTGTTGTAATGGTTCTTCCCCAGCAACGTGCCCTTTAAATTAGCTAGGTCCAGAGAACATCCACCCCCCCATCCTGAAAGGACCAGATATTTTGTCCCTGAAAAGGCTGTCTTACCTCCTAGTGAGGTGGCCCCCCAAAAGGTAAGAGGCTCCGAGTCCATGACTTGGCTCTTGCCATGGAAGTGGCAGGAAGGTAGTTTTAGGAGCCTGAGTGCAGAGCACCCTCAGCAGGCTTGGCAGTGAGGGTGTGGGCTCGTTCTCCCTCAATGAACTGCAGTGGCTCAAGCCCAATAGGCAAGGGCATCACAGAAGGAAGCTGTGAGCAGGCCAGCTCCCACAACTGCTTAGGACCAGTCTTCAACAGCGACACTACATGGTGGCAAGGAGCAACAGCAGGGACCCACCAGGCAGGCTCATTCATTCAGAAAGTGAAAGGCAGCTGTGACCCTTTAGACACCTACACCCCTGGGAGTTGGGCAATTCAAAGGCGAGAAAGTGACTGGACGTACCCCAATAAAGTATGTGAGGGCTTCGATGACTAATAGGAAAAATGAACGTGAGCAAACCACCACCCCACTTTGACCGATTTGTTTGCTCTGAATTTAACATCTGGTGGGAATTTTTTAAAAACACTCTCATATATTAACTCATTCAACCCTATTGATCATCTCAGATGTACCCAGAAATGAGTTTCAGAGTTCCGCTTGGCTCTGCAGCAAGTCCTATTTATTCTAAAAGCGAAAAAAATTTCAATTGGTTTTGAATAGCCCCTGAAACGTCACTGCTTTTAGGAAGGGCTCCAAAGACAGACAAGAGAACTCAAAATAATTTTACTGTGTCTTCAAGCAGGGGGATACAAAGGCACATTAAAAGGCACAAAGCCTGCTCCTGAGGATCTAGTTCTGAAGTTTCCAAGCACTGGAAACAGGTTGGGAGCCCAGTAAGACGCTGCTGTAAACTGTATTGTCCAAGCAGTGCAGGTGCACCAAGGAGGGCAAAGCCACTCTGGAGCCAGGAGTACCAAGAAAGATCTTTGACAGCATTTCCATATGTTCATACCCTTTGCCCCAGTATTTCCCAACTTCCAGAAATTTATCCAAAGAAAGCAATCAGATGCAGACAAACGTGTACATACGGGGAAGTAGACAGCAGCATCATTTATAAGGACAAACGATTGGAAGCAACCCAAGTGTTCAGGAAAAGGAAAGTACATAAATAAATTAGGGAGTCGATTTGTGCAAACGGGAAGGTTATGGCCCGGAAGGGACCACAGGATTCTGTAATTCCACCTGGGTAGTGGTCTTGTCTTATGGGTGTACACAACATGTAGAAATTCACAAAGCTGGACATTATGCTTCAGAAATACATAAATAAAAAGGATCTAGATATAGACAGACAGATGATAATCTTAACCATTGAAATCAGTATTGAACAACACAGAATGCTCCCAATTTCATACTAAATGTTAAAATGCAGTATATAAACCATATACATTATGATCTTAATTTTGGTTTTATAAAAATATGTCTACTTAATGCACCTGATGCACAGAAAAAATACTGGAGGGAAAGCAGCCAAAATATTTACAGTAGTTATCACTGACAGGCAGGATAACAGGTGATTTTTCTTCTGACAGTCGTCCCTGAAGTTCCACATTTGCTAGAATGAACACATGGCGCTGCCTCCTCTTCTCATCCAGTGCTGGGAGTTATTCTGACCTCTAGTAGCCTCTAGTTGTCATCTTCTGACTTGGATACTGCTAATCTGAAGTGTGCCCATAATCTCCAAAATCCTGAACAGGGATTTGCTATCAGGCCTACTGATGGATGTCCATCTAAGTCCTAACAGTCTGTGTTTTACCTACTGCCCCAGTTTTGTATTATTCTTAGTAATAAAGAGAATAACATTTATTGAGTACCTACTACGTGTCAGGTTGCATGCTGAGGGCTTTACCTGAGGACCCAGATGAACCCCTCTGGGCAGGGCGGTCAGGCCCTTGTCAGCCTCTCCTCTTGACTCGGGGGGTAGGGGGGGGTGGCTACAATTTGCTTTAGAGAATGCAGTGGAACCATGCTCTGCCTGATCCAGATTGAAGCTTCAAGAAGGCCTAGCCGTTACCACCCAACTCAGCAAATCCACTCCTATCAATCTCGCCAAGAAAAGTGAACACCTACACTCAGAGATTTGTACAGGCAAATGTCCACAGCAGGACTATTAATAGGTGCAAGGTACAAACACCAGACGTCCATCAACTGGTGCACAGATGAATGAAATGTACATTCACAGGCTGGAATAGTATTCGGCCATAAGGAATGAGAAGAAATGAAAGAGAAAGAGCAGCAGCCTGGCAACATCCACCTTTGAAGACCTGGGGGCAGGGAGTTACCACGTCAGAATCTAGTGACAGTGCTGTAGGGCCACTCAGAAAGAGGTGGTGGCCCCACGCCTCTGTGAAGGAGAACAAGGTTCCCGGTGACAGAGAACGCCGAGCCCCATATGCCTAACCCCAGCAGGCTGGGATGCCCTGGGTGAGGTACCAGGCATGAGAGCTGAGAAGCCCTTAGGGCTCAGAGCCAGCCCCACTTTGCCCCATCCAATTTCCTGCCCACAGAACTGTGACTCAATAATAGAGGTTTTAAGCCACTTGGTACTGGGGTCATTTGTTACTCAGTGCTAGCTAACAGAGACGCAGTTGCTAACATCCTCAAGTGACACACGAGGAAGACCCCGAGGTCAGACAGTGAGGAGACACCCACGGCCCCTTCGCCCCCAATGGTACAG